CCACCGCAGCCTCGACTTGCTGGGCTCCGGTGATCCTTCCGCCTCAGCCTTTCAAGTAGCTGGAACTATAGGCGTGTGCTACCACGCCCAGCTGATTTTTTTTTTATTTATTGTAGAGATGAGGTCTCGCTGCCCAGGCGGGTCTCGAGCCTGCTGGCTCAGGCAATCCACTCACCTCAGCCTCCCAAAGGCGTGGGATTATAGGCTGAGCCACCGAGCCTGGCTTACTAATGCTATTAATAATAATAGCTACCATTAGTAAATGCCTACCATGAACTAAGCAACATATTAACTACTTAATACATTATTTCATTTAGTCCTGATTCAACCATGAGATAGGTATTATTTTCTCATTTTACACATGAGGAAACCAGGGTTTAGAGAAGTTGTGTAACTTTTCCCAAGTCACACAGCTAGCTAGTATACCAGTTCTAGATTTACAACCAAGTTGTAAAGATTCCTATTATATAATGAGAATGACAATTATAACATATTTCTAATATTTGCTTCTCCATTTTTACCAATCTGGAGTCATTGATGGAAGGTAGGGTCAAGTTGCAAAATGTTCTCTGTTCCTTTATTCATGTTGCTTGATGAACCCCACAAAAGTGAAATTTGATTGGCTCACGCCTGTAATCCCAGCACTTTGGGAGGTGGAGGCAAGAGGTGTGTCTAATTCCAGGGGTTTGAGACCAGCCTGGGCAACCTGGCAAGATTTCGTCTCTACAACAAATAAAAAAAAAAATTAGCTGGGCATGGTAGTGAGCACCTGTCGTTCCAGCTACTTGGAAAGCTGAGGAGGAAAGATCACCTGAGCCCAGCAGGTCAAGGCTGCCATAGCTGTCATCGTGCCACTGCACTCCAGCCTTGGGTGACAGAGTGAGACTCTGACTCAAAAAAAAAAAAAATTCAGCAGGATGATCACGAGTTACTTTGTATTTTCTTCAAGTGAACAAGAAGATGTTTTGTCCTTTAACCAGGGAAAATCTTCTAACAAATACACTGGTGCTTGCTGTGCTGCACCTCCCTCTCTCCCCCATGTCCACACGGCTTCTGACCTGCTGTGTTTTATCTCATCACACTTGTGCAGAGGAACCCATATGACTATCTATGGTTTGAGGATCTTTCTTGTCAGATGCCCTCTTTGTTCCCTTCTGTAATTCCATCCTACTACATTCTGCCCGCTCTCACACGGTACTGATTCAGTCATAGAACATATGTAGATTTTGCAAATGAACCAGATTAATGCCTTGAAAGTGAGAAAAGATTGCAATTCATTTATTCATTCAACCAACAAGCATTGATGACTATTAAAGTGCCAGGTCCTAGGCATATGGAAAACAAAGATAAATAAGACATGCTCTTACCTTCAGGAAGCTCATAGTTCCCTATACTTGTGTCTGGAATTTTCTCTGGTCAACCATATACTAAAAATGCTCACTTTCCTCCAAGCAAGGTACCATCTTAGCATTCAGAGAATGGAAATCTACTTAGGTTTTTTTTAGAATAAAATCTAAGCAAGGATACTACCATTTCCATATGAATCCCTTATTTACACAATTAGATCTGATCCCTGTCAGATCTCCTAGACTGCCAAGCCCCTCAGGGCCTTTTTTCTCAGGCTAGGTTCACCTAGAATGTTGCTAAAATTGCGGATAGGTACTATGAGCTTCCCACCAAGAGCCAACTCCACAGTCATAAGATGTGACATAGGTAGCAAAAAGTAAAACATATCTGTTAGGATAAGCTTTATCAAAAAGTATTCTACAGAATACTAGTTCTTTGGAATGTTAAATGGCATTAAGGGCAGAAATAAAAATGGTTCTGTGGTCAAGTAAGTGTGAGTTAAAAAGTTAAAATTCTGGTTTTAAAAAGTTAAACTATTTCTTTATTGTAAGATTTCCCAGAGGCATCCATATGTGAAAATAACTTGTGATTCTGTGGGAAAGAAACATAATACACAGCGTTATCTATTCTTTTTTTTTTTGAGTTGAAGTCTCACTCTGTCGCCCAGACTAGAGTGCAGTGGTCGCTCCCGGCCACCGCAGCCTCGACCTGCCGGGCTCCGGTGATCCTTCCGCCTCAGCCTTCCGAGTAGCCGGAATTACAGGCATGTGCTACCACGCCCGGCTGATTTTTGATTTATTGTAGAGATGAGGTCTTGCTGCCCAGACGGGTCTCGAACCCGTGGGCTCAGGCAATCCACTCACCTCAGCCTCCCAAAGGCGCGGGATTACAAGCTGAGCCACCGAGCCCGGCGCGTTATCTATTCTTAATTGGTCATAAACCATTTTACAGAGATGCCATATCTTGCATGTAATATACATTGCATAAAGGTATATTTCCACTTTTTCATGCAAAATATTTTTTAAGAAACAGAATCAATCATATATGGAAAAAAATGGGCTTTAATACCCCACCTCATTGTAATTGTCTCTGGTAAATATATCTATCATTTAAGTAGCTTTGGGGCACATACACTGTATATGTAGGGTGAAAGGAGAAAGGAAGAGAAGAGAATCCAAATTCCATCAGCACAAGTACATTTACATACATAAGTCTTTATGATGGGCATTATTGATTATTGATGTGCATCCTAACATACTGAAATTTCTCATTTTGGATAAGTAGCACAATGAGGAGAAACATATTACAAAGAAAAGGCAAAATGAAAATTCTGTCCCTATAGGCATTCAGTGCTTTGCAGAGACAACAAAAACAAGGCACCAAAAACAAGTGTGCAACTGGAAATATACCTTCACAACTTCCCTAGACGTGTATATTCTTTGAAAAGAGACTGAATGGCAGTGTGCAGCCATGACTTACAGGAAACTTTAAAGAGGAAAACTATGAAAGGTAATTAGGAAATTGAGAATTGTTGGGAGGTGGTGGGGAATGGGATTAGGCTGTCATGGCAGATTAATGTGCCCCAGTATTTCACTTCTGGGACCTGGCCGAAAGCGACACGATGGGTTTTCATTCCCAAGAAATGAGTATAAGAGATTA